TTATATATTGGTATATATAGATATATATATAGATATAGATATATATATATAAATATATATATATGCGGCGCATTGGATTGAATATGCACGCAAATGAGAAGAACACCCACTTCAATACGGCACGTACCTCGCAGGATCCACAACCCAGGTACAAACCATGTTGTACGTGTTGGATTGAAAGTGCATGCACACCATGAACCGGGTTTCTCCATGTGCTGTAGCATAGTCGATGTAGCTGACACCACTGCTGGCAAACTCTGTAAACCGTCCGGGTGTGGTAGAGCGGAAGATATCTACATCGACCAGAATGAACATAGATTCCGCCGAATTGTACTGTTATAACGCAGTAAGTGCCATTAGAAGGGTGTTTGACGGTACTCTTGTACGATAAAAACAGTATCGAAGGTCTAAGCCTTCTTGAGCCACTAGCAAGTATTGCCAGTGAAAGAAATCTGTGCGCCGTCAACTACTATGGCGACACTACTAATGGCCTTTGATCCGTAAAACCGACAATTGCAAAGTCGGGGCATCGAAATGAAAAACAAGAAAAATAGAGTATTGCAGCATACAAAGGCCGATATGTCCCGATACATGTGCACGAATATACCAATGTGTATACCTCTTCTCCATTTTTCACTCTCACTAGCGAAAACAAAGATCCTATACGCATATACAGACATGTATGTGCACTCTGCACATTCTTATGTACAAAAGAGTCTCTGTACCTATGCGCTTACACAGGTAAACATTCACAACATGACAAACCATAGTCTCACACCTTCTTCTTGTCGGTCATATACTTTTTCCCGCGCACCGGGAAGCTCGTAGCCGGAGGTTCGCTCCAGCAGTTGCGGCCTTTCTCCAATGGACCCAAAGTGAACTCGCTATCAGGTCTCTCAATCATCAGACTGCACAATGAAGCCATAGACGTCCTCCGACCAACCGGTACATCCATATGTAATTTGCGCGTGTCTGGTGTTGACTCACTCTCTGCCAAGCCATTTGGCGGCGCTAAACTCTTGGCACGCATGTACCTGGATTCTAAGAGACCGAATGTATGCATGCGATACATGTATACTTGAGTACTGCATGTGTATGATGTAGGGAAGACGTATGTGTCCGGCGCGTTTGGGTGGGTCGTGACGTCTGATTATACGTCAGGCGCACTTCACACAAAAGAGTAAGATTCCAATCAGTGTCGTATGCACATAAACCACGAAACTCGCACATTTGGGTAGATGTGATTGAATTTGTTTTTTGTGCTGGAAATTAAACGGACCGGGCTATTCCACACTAATATTTTAGCGAAAGTTTTACATTACAGTTGAGAAGTGGATGGGAAAATTCGTACACATTTCGGGTGCTATAGGGTATGAGACTAAAGTGGGATTTAGCGTGGTTTTCGCGAACCCATAATCATAAATTCTATATAGGAACATATATAAACAAATTCGAGTGTATGTATATATAGGTACACCCAAGCGTGCTGAAACATATGTAATTTTCTAAGGGGAAAAACGAACAGGTGTCATTTACAGGTAGAGACTGATGCATCCACAATTACGAATAGCTATCCATTGAACATCACACCTAGCCCAGGCCCTGAAAAACATACAAAATTAAACCTCCATATGCTTAAATACAAACACATTCGAAAATGAATTTATACTCATATATGAGTTTAAGTATATATAAATATATATATATATATTATACTATATATGTGTATATATGTGTATA